CTATACCTCCTCTCCATCAACTTGTGCCCATTACTCCTTGTTATGCCAGCGGGCGCTAGGGGAAACAGCGTCTCCCCCAAACCCTTCTGGTCCCCCCTAGTGAGTTTATAGACGGTCACCAGGTCCCCCCTCAGCCTTCTCATTGAGGGCCACATGCCAGGCAGCCAGGGGCAGATAAATATTCATTTTCTAAATTTTTTTAGGGGCCCCGTGGGCCTGACAGAATGGCCTGGCAGGCTGCATCCAGCCCGCATTTTGCCAACCCTTGTGCTAACACCTTCGGTTTTGCTACAAATGCAAAATGCAAGGCTATTGCATTGGACCCAGCATTAAGCAGTTCCCAGGATGAGTTTTGGCAGTTTAGACTCCAAATGAAGACATTCCAATTAAGTTTGAGTTTTAAAGCTAATTAGCACCCAAGAGTCAAAGTTAACCTCTTGAGATACAACACTAAGAACCAAAACCAAGCGGACAAGATTGCAAGACGCCCCGTGCAGTAAAACAGCCACGGCCCCCACACAGTCTGGACAGATTGCCTCTGTTTCACATTTTTCCTTGGGTCTTCAAATAAAAGGTAGCCAATGTGATTGCTTTCATTAAGGAACCTGAAGGAATGGAGCAAAAACGACGGACACATTAAACTGCTGAGGAAAAGGGTAAAAAATTCTTTCTGCTGCTTCAGTGTCAGGGGGGAAAAAAAAGAGACAAGTGAGGGAGATGAATTATTAAGCAGACAAGTATCTGTTTTAGTCACTAGTCAGCAAGAAAACCAAAACTAATGCGGTTCATCAGGGAAGGTCTGAGATAAATATAGCAAGGTAAATAGCTTTAGCACTCTAAGGACAATTCGGGAAGGGAAGACCCTGCAAAGGCAGATCGTGCAGAATCAGAATGGCTAGAATGAACAAACTTCAGCTCTCCGGCAACAGCGACATGCATTACTGCCATAACGCAGGGAGGGACTGGAGCATCTGCCCCACAGCACAGGAAGGAGGGGGATTCGTGCTGAAGTACCAGCCACAGCCCAAACGCAGTCCTAGAGGTTCAGTACATGGATCGGTCTTGTACGTGACTGCTCTCAAAGAGATGATCAGTCCCAGCACACAGCACAAGAAGGCCCTGAGATCAAGCAGCGGTGCTAGTCCTGAAGTTCAGCCTTTAGACACGGCTGCAATCCTTCATTCATTCTCATGAAAACCAGGGATCTGATCCCGAACCGCCATCTCTCATTGACCTCTGTAAGGCCGAGGCGCTCAGTAAGTAATGCAGGATCAGGCCAGAGCTGCAGACTCCAGAAAAACTTGCCAATCTGATCCTGAGCTGGGCAAAGCTTAGGAGCTTCCTGAACTTAGGAGCCCGCTAAAAACACTCCATACAACATCATTTGTGCACTTCAGGGAGGGATCTTTTCTGGATACCTTTTCCTGGAAAAAATAATGGACACTGACATGCTGAGAAAAACTAGCATATCATTTCCTACATTAAGAGCAGCAATAGAACTAAAAGCACTTGAAGTCCAAGATCAGTTCAGTTTTGAATGCAAGTGCACACAGCTGGAAGCACCTCGAAGGAAACAGAGGAAACAACTGCGGATCATGCCACTGTCAGTATTTATTTTAAAGGACCGATCAGACATGTGTTTTGAGGACCCAAAGACACAGCAGGACCCTGCCACCTTCTACAGTAGGTAACTGGTTTGGTAAGAGAGGCACCAGTGCTGGATAAAAGTGCTGAATAACCAAACCAGCTTGATCCTTTTTTTCTTTTTCTTTTTTGTTTAAATCAGCATTCTCCACCGTGATTTTTTTTAAATGCAAGTACCAGAAAATGAAGTTTTCTACTTCCCCACAATTTACACAACAAACTTTATGTATAAGGCACCCGACTTCAAGGATTTCTTATGAGTCACAGCAGACTTCAGAAATATTTGGTTACACTTCCGGTCCAGGGCTCTTACATTTGGTTTCTCTTTGCACTGAGAGTGAAGCATCACAAATACTTGGTAAAATGCCTTTTGTGGGGCTCCAGGTTTCTTCCTGATTTTCTGATCTCATTTGCCAAGTTTGCAAATAAAAGTTTTTTGTCCTGCTGGCCAGGCCCACAAACTTCACTCCAAACAGCTCAGCACCACCAAAAAAGTTTCTACCTGCCCAATTAGACCCCCCAATACACAGCATAAGCCCCTCACTTTTAGGTCATGCCCCATGGCTAATGCTGCTAGAAGGCATCGTTTGAGCCAGAGAAACTTTATCCTGAGCAATTCTGTGTAAAACAGAAAAAGGTGAATTTGTGGGACCGACACGAACAGGAGATTCTCCTCCCCCCTTGACAACCAAGTGTGCTATGGAAGCAGCCCCATAACCCATTCCTTTATCACATCACGTTTGGGGATCTTCTATGCTGCAACAGCAGCCCAAAGAAAGAGACCACATCCTCCGAATGCCAAGGTGGTTAGGCCCCAAATTGTCTCTCTCAAAAGACAGGAAAATTCAACATGGCATCCCAAAAGGAAGCTAAGCAACCTGACAGAGGCCGTCGCCTCTCAGTTCAGGTTGCAAAGCCAGCCCTGCTCCACCTGGCTACAAAAACACAAAGAGGAACGAGCAGGCTAACCCCAGCTCAGCTTCCGCGGTTCCCATTTGACTGCTGGCTGCGTCGACTTTTCCAGGGACTAATCTGGAATGGCTCCACCTTAGAAGAAACCAGGCAGAACTGGTATCGCAGTTACCCGTGGTGGCGGAGCAGCTCCTACCCCAGCCCCAACAGAAACAACACTTGCTGTTTATTGGTGCTCTTGGACCAAACGCAATGGCCTGCTGGTTGCCTCTCCTTTCCACGCACCGCCAAGGAGGTACTCCCTAATACAACCTACCCTCAATTCGAATGTAATCCTGGGGAAACGGCGCGTCCTTTGCCAAATCAAGGAGCACAGCTTTCAACAGCGCCCAACAACAGACTGGGCTATTCTGTGCGCTGCTCCAACCTATTTAGCAGCTCTGCTTTTTCCAGTCCCTTCTGCAGAAGCTCATGAAAGAAGCCCTCTGCTCACACCCGCTCGTGCTGCACTGCTCAGGTAGGGAGAATTAGTCCAGAGAGGTGCAGCTACACCTGCCACGCTGCGAGCAACCCAAGCCAAGCAGCTAGTCTCAGTGACGGGGAGGGGGCAGGCCCCAGAGCCCAGCACAGCCCACCCCCTCCTCCTCCGGCCCCCAGGTGCCCTCTGCCCCGGGGCGGCGCTCACCGATGCGCGGCTGCAGGTCGGCGAGGACGTCGCGGCGGCCGAGCTGGTGCAGCAGGGCGAGCAGGCGGCCGACGGAGGGCGCGGGGCCAGGG